TTCCTGAATATTCGCTGTTTCGAATATGAAGTGAATCCCAAAGAGTTTCTAGTATTGTTTTGTTGTCAGGACTATAGATCAGAAATGTCCTGCCATGTAAGGTTTTCTGCTTGAGGACTCCATTAAATTCAATAATGGGTTTTAATATCGATGTCTCCCAGCTGGTCTTTGCTGACTTCTTTGATCACTCCATGGATCTCGATCAGCCGATGTTGATGTAATTTGTTTTGCTTGTTACCGGAAGTCAGCAGCTCGTATTTCACTTTGACAATGGAACACACTGGAACAATATTCGGCAGCTTTCTGGGCAAGGTGTTTTAGACAGGGTGTCGGCATGTTCCGTGTGATGGTCCCTTACGATGATGGATAGTGCAAATGTATATTCTTGGAGTCTCTGTATCCACCTGGATATTTGACTCTCAGGATTCTTGAAATTTAAAAGCCAGGCCAATGAGGCATGGTCCGTGCGAAGCAGGAATTTTCTGCCGTATATAGGTAATGAGGGAAATGTTCTACGGGCTTTGACTATGGCAAGCAACTCTTTCCCGGTGGACACAGTGATTCCTCTCCGGATTTAAACAGGCACTTGCTCCAGTAGGCTACTACACGTTCTTGGCCGTCTATTTCTTGGGACAAAACAGCACCGACACTTTCATTGCTCGCGTCCATGTCGAGAATAAATGGTCTGTCCAGCTGAGGATACATCAGGATTGGAGCAAATGTTAAAGCTTCCTTTAAGTTGTTAAATGCATCCTCGCATTCTTTTGCCTACAAATAAATATCTTTGCTTGTTCTCTGTCAGCTTATGAAGGGGTCTTGCGATGGAAGAAAAGTCCTTCACGAATCTCCTACAGAAGGTGTAAAGCTCTAGGAAGCTTCTCAGCTGATGGACATTTTCGGGATGTTTTCAGAATTTAACCCGCTGACACCTTTTCAGGATCCGCGCACACCTTCTGCAGAGATGACATGTCCCAGGTAAGCCACTTCCTTTCGGAACAATTTGCATTTAGCAGGACTCAGCTTCAGATTGGCTTCTTTCAGTTTCTGAAGCACCTTTCTAAGATATGACGGGAAGACCTCCTGGCAAGTGCATAAGACGCAATTTTCAGTAGTGGTGGACGTGAATGGATGGGATTCCCAAGCTAAGGCCTGTCATCTCGCTGCTTCTCTGAGAGCAGACGCAGCGGATATTCTGCAGACTCTTCCCGAAAACCAGAGACTTGACTTCGAAGCTCTATCTGGCGCATTAAAGCTGCGCTTTGGCGAGAAATGTTTGAAAGACTACAGCAGGCTTCAATTGAAATCCCGTCAACAGAAGCCCACAGAATCACTCCAGGAGCTCGCCACGGATGTTGAAAGGCTGTCCCACCTCGCCTTTACGAAGTGTCAGAGAGAAACGAGGGAAATCCTGTCCCTGCAGTATTTTATCGATGGCATCCGGGATCTCTAAATACAGAAGGCTCTATGAAAGGCGGATGTTAAAGATTTAAAAAGCGCTCTAGAAATTCAAGGCAGCTCAGCAAGCAACTCGTAGAGACCGCCACCCAATCAGAGCTGCTCATGTCCAGGAGCCAAGGGATCAAGTCACTGTTCGTCTAGACGATATAACCAGACAACTCAGTGCCTTGAAAAGAAATATCAATGACAAGAAACCGCCTTAAAGTTGGAACTGTGGAGTTAAGCACAATCGGCGAACTGCGAACCCCCACTCCTGACACCAAAAATTATTGAGTGCGTACAGATTCGTTTGAATTGATGAACAGTCCGATGAAAATGAACAAAATTTATATTATCATATCAAAAATGATTAATTTTCCTCAGATATTCGTTCAGTATAACAATATCTAACAGTAGTTATCTTTTAACTACTCACGAATCCCGCAAACGGGCTGGCTGCATGGGTGTTTTCGTGGTTTTCCTCACGTGTAACGTGTATACGAGCCAGTTTCCCTTAGAAAGTCCTCTACGAAGGCATATCTCCCCTTAGGCAGATAGCCCTAGTGTGCTTTGCCGTAATTAAATACACCTCACACACCTTTTAACTACTCAAATGTTCAAGAGAACGTAATTCAAAACAGCTAAAGAAAGCTAATCCGCGAATTCGATACAGTCAACAAGTGCAGTTTTCTAAACAAACTCTTAAAGCAACAACAAACTAAAATCACACCGAACTGAGAGGTTTTCCTCCTTTTTAGATTTTTAATCGCGCGCGAGAATTTTCTGGAAATTCTCGAAATCAAAAAGAGATATTTATTTATTAAATGTTAAATGCACGTGCTCTTGTATTTTTAATTTTCCGGCTTAGCTTTCCTTTAATGTTCTTCACACGCTGCTCTTCACGGGGAATAAACAATTTAATTTATAATTCAACTAACATTAGCTATTTAAATACCAAATCCGTAATAATACTTTTCAACGTGCTAGGTTACGCACTATGTTATGAACTGCTCGTATATTTTATTGGTTGCAGGAGTTTGTCATAATCGACGATTTTGTTATACGTCAAAATGGCAGTCCCGATCCTTACGGATAATCGAAGTTCCATTCAAATAAATTTATTCAAATTGATGCCTTTAAAATTACGACACTCGAAAAGAATGTCACTATACTCAATTATGACACTGCTTCATCTTTAGTATAATAATTATTAAATTAATTATCTCTTATTCTATTTAATAATTAAGATATTAATATATTTTATTCCTTTATTTTATGTTACCCCAAATAATTTTGTCTTTAATCCAACAAAGTCTGTCACTGAATATTCCTCAGTTGTGTTTAAATGGATATAATATTTTATATTCTGCATTTCGTATTCTATCAACAGTCACTAAGTAATTTGTATTTTATTCTAACAGTTTCGAATTCCATCGAATTAAACTAACACTCTGCTTTATAGACCTAATTTGGAGTATTTTTTAACATTTTCGAATTCAAATTTACTTTCAAAGCTTTACATTACACGTTATATCCTTTTGACCGTTCCCGAATCCATTTGAACGAATTTTTTGCATGCCGTCTGTACTTACGGGAAAAATAAAAGAATGTTTTTTTCGCAAACGAATTGTAAAATGGATTTAAAATGAATTAGAAAGGGATTTTTTCTTGACGCCTGAACGAATGTGTGTATACATATATGTATGTATCTTGCATACTTCAAAAACGATTAGCAGTAGAACGTTTAAATTTCGTATACGGGAGTGCTGCAACATCTAGTTGTGACCCTTCCTTTTTTTTTTTTTTTTTTTTTTTTTTTTTTTTTTTTTTTTTAGCCCAAATGAGCCCTACCCCAGAAGAGCTATTAATCTCAAAACGGCACTTTATGGCCTTTCACTATAAACGGGAATCACTTTTTAAACTACAGCGACCAAATATTATCGCCGTCTATTATATTTAACGAAATTAAATAATGAAGAATCTACATGAATGTGTATGTATGATTCTTGCAATGTGGAAAAACGACGGTACCTAAAGCCAAATTTTGAATAACGTAATCCTCCTCCCGAAAATGAGCACCTGCAAGCCCGAATTTTGAATCTACAATGTGTTTTATTATCTGTTTTGTATTTTGTAAGAAACTCAACAATTTCAAAGTGAGCAATGGCAACACTGTACGGGAAAAAAGACATTTTTTTTCTCTCCAGCGAATGAAACTGTCTATGAGAAATTCTAAAAATATGCTGTTTTTAAATATTTTGTGATATCGCTGTTGAAATGAACTTCGTGTGGTTTAAATGCGAAGAACATGATATTTACCAAATGATGCTAACACACAAAACGTTAAAAAAAAAAAAAAAAAAAGTAATATAACATAAATATAAAATCTTTCGGATTTTTTGGGCGTAATATAAAATATAAAATCTTTCGGATTTTATTTATTTATTTATTTATTTGCAATCAGCAAAACCAAACAGACATATATATATGTAAGATATAACAAAATATGATGGCTGCTTTAAAAATAATTGGCGACCTCAAAATTAACTTTTCTAGATTTGGTGCTCTCCCCTTAAATTCTTCTGTTCTCCTAAATTCGAGATCCTTCCATGTTACATAAAATTAACCAATCACAGATGAGCTGTACTTATGCATCAGACTTCGTATAAATACCCTTGGCACAATTACTACGTAATTCTTTTCTTAGAGTCCGCCACTGCAAAAATATTCCCGCTGCTCTGCTTGCCCGTCAAAATGATGTCGCCCCCCATTAACCTGTGTATCTAAGAAAATTATTGATTAAAAACGGTATAGTCTACGAAGAATTATTCTAATGTGGCTAGAAATAAAAACGGTTAATTAGCTGAACTTGGTTTGGTACCAACATCTTCTTCTCGTCTTGCCACTCTGCCATCACGACTACGCATTAAAAATATCACATATATATATATATGCCCTTCCCCTTAGCCGACTTAAAAGTCCTTATTCGGCGTTTATTTTCGCAATCGTTGGTCGTAGTCATGCATTTCCAGTTACTGAAATGTTTTAAATACAAAAATATTCATGTTTAGGCAATTTCAAATTAGAAAATTAAATAAAAATTTTCGACTAATACCATTATTTAACTTTGAATACTATTTCCCGGTTCCTAAACTTACAACGGGGAAAGTTTTTATACTCGTTATGAAAAATAAAATAAGAAATATGACTCCCATACGATAGAAGTATGCATTGATATATAATTTCAAAATTTGCAATTTTTTATGTCATTTTAAACTTGCCTTGAGGAACAGATTAATTAAGTTACAATAATTCGAAGAAATAAGTTTAAATGAAGTGCAGGAAAAAGTATGTATAATTTAATAAGACGTATAAAGGAAGTAATATGGTGCCCATATTAGATATGATACCCGAAAATTTTCGAGTTTACAATATTTCCTTTTTTTCAGGGAATAAAAAGAAAAAGGAAACAAAAACATCAATCAAGTATAAATTAGCAAACAATTAAGCCAGGAGTTACTCTTTAAGAAGCATCAAAGAAGTTAAATTAATAAGCAACTTACGTAGAGACCAGATTAGCACAGAAGTCATGTTCTCCCCAATGAAATAATATCCGAAAAGAATTAACCTTGGCAAAACTTTATTTGCAGAAATCGATTAAGAACATGTTGTGTTTTTTAAAGCATTTCCGTAGTAGGATAAGATAATCCAGATAAAAAGCAGTTTCATTGCATCTGCTTTACGGATATTAATCAGTTGTTCACTTTGAAAAAAAGACATCTGTATAAATGAAAAATTTTCCGAAATAACGTATCTTTTCTTGCACAATTTTTTATATAATTGTTAGCCCAAATGGCGTTAGCACAGAAGGGCTAGTAATTTCTTTTTGGCATTGCTCGTCGAAAACTTTAAAAGTCTGAATCACTTTTCAAGTTATTTCCATCAAATTTTGAATAACGTACATCTCCACCCGAATATGGGCATCTCAAAGCCCAAATTTGGAATTTATTTTATTATCTATTTCATATTTTGTAAAACATTTATGAGTTTTTGATTAAGAAACTCAACGATTGCAAACTGAGCAATGGCAATACTGTACGAAAAAAAAAAAAAATTATCTCCAGCTCACGAGACTGTATCCGAAATTCTGATTCCTTTTAAATTAGTTTGCGATATTGCTGTTCAATTGAATTTTATGGTTTAAGTACGAAGAATATGACATTTAAGGAAACACGTGACATATCGACTGACGAAATGCAACTATTTCGGGACAAAGGTTATTACGGTATAACTTTTTAAAATAAACGTATATTCTAATTTGTTTTCATTTAAAATAGACAGCTTGTAGATTATATAAAACACATAAAGTGTTCATTTAAAGCTTAATGTTTTTAAAAACCAGTTGTTTCATTTTTCTTACCTTTGATGAATCTTTCTGTGACAGTATGCTAGTTTGGTACACTTTTCTTAAAAAATACTTCATCAAACTCCTTCAAATTTTAAATGATGGTTAAAAACATATCATTTAAGAATGATAAGCAGTATTTTATATTTTACTTAAAAAGAAAAAATATTTAAAAAAAATTAGTAAAATGTTTTGAAAATCATAGAAAAAAATGGTATTAAATTTTTTATATATCCAAACCTAATGATTATAAATTTTATATCCTGCCGTAGTTTCAAAGAAATAACTAAGATAAACAACTGTGAAAATTTAAACCTTTTAGGCTGAATAGTTTTCAAGAAGTGTACCAAAAGTTAAAAAAAAAAAAAAAAAAAAAAAAAAAAAAAAAAAAAACACGTTTTGAGAAAAACTGAAAAAACAATTTGAACACTAATCTATAATAATAAAAGCAAGTGTAATGTGTCTGTCTGTCTGTCTGTCTGTCTGTCTGACCGAGCTCTCCAGCCAAATCTATCGCACGCAGGGACCTGGAATTTTTTATACGGAAGCACAAAGGGGCTGGCCACCAACCTCGAAGCCCGATTTTCGATTTTTGAATTAGAAAAATTTTTAAAAAATTTATTTATAATTAATTAATCACGGTTTTTTTGTTGACTCACTGATATTATTATTTGTTTTCAAATAACGTTCGATTGTAACAATTGATTTCTTTATTCTAGCGTTAGTTTGCTGTTTTGGACGATACATTAAATCGATTAATTACAATTCATTTCTTTTTTGTAGCTTATTATTATATTAATTAATTCATCACGGTTTTTTTTGACTCATGATATTATTATTATTTGTTTTCAAATAACGTTCGATTGTAACAATTTGATTTCTTTATTCTAGCGTTAGTTTGCTGTTTTGACGATACATTAAATCGATTAATTACAATTCATTTCTTTTTTTGTAGCTTGTGGGGGGGGGGGGGGAACAGAGAGAGACAGTCTACATGTCCTACAGTACTATTCCTGCGCTATTCACTTATCTGCATTTTCTAAATGCACGGGCAACGCCGGGCGGGTACAGTATGACGTGCATGCTTAACTCAAGGGCAGTTAAAAATACAGCAAAGGGAAATAATCCCTTTAAATAACAGAAAAAATACTAAAGTAATTCCTATATTTCCAAGCATTTTATTTGGACAATATATTCATTTAGTTAGACAAATTAAATCAGTGTTACTCATAAACAAAAAGAGTTCTTAGTAAGTAACCAAAGAGTAAATATCATTTAGGAATGAAGAAACTAAGTTATAAATGACAATAAAGAAAAATATTTACAGGCAAATTTGAACGACATTTATATGCGAGTTTTAACTCGTTGTTTGAACATTGTTCAAACAAAGAATTCAAACTCGCATTAAAAACTTCTGTTTTTTTAGTGATGAAGACTATGCAGGGTGTCTCAAAAGGTCCTTGCCAAACTTAACATGCTGGTTTGTCATACCATGACAATCAAGATTTAGGTATTAACTTGCGTCCGATAATGCGAACGGCGACCGCTAGAGGGCAATGTTCGCAGGCTTATGGGTTGCAGGAGAAAGATGAATGGGTTTACTAACATTATTCTTCAAGGACATTTTGTGTAAAGAGTGTTGCCGGATCTGACGGTTGACGTTGCAGAAGCTACACGCAAAGTCATCTGATTTCAGCATGATAGAGCACCTGCACATTTTAACAGCACTGTGCGGGAACACCTCGATAAGACACATCCTGATCGCTGGATTGGCAGAGACTGACGAGTCTCATGGCCACTGCGATCTCCCAACCTGACTTGGATTTTTACCTGTGGGGAAACATGAAGTCCATGGCGCACGAGACAACAGGAACATTGGACATGGATCTCGTGGATCCAGGACCGTGGAAGCGGCGGCGCGTGTCCGTGACAACTGCCGATTTTGAACGGGTCCATGAATTCATGCGTCGACGTTGTGAAGCATGCACTGTGGCAAATGGAAGGAATTTTGAACATCTTCTGTGACTTAGCCATGTTCTTTAATAAAAGTCATAGTAACACATCCTCCCACATCCTTTCTTTTTTCCTATCTATGCTTGCGAACATTACCCCCTAGCTGTCGCCATTCGCATTTTCCGACACAAGTTCCTATGTAACTCCTATGTGTCATGATATGACAGATCAGCATGTTAAGTTTGGCAGCGACCTTTTGAGACACCCTGTATACCTTGTCCACAAAAGTCGTTACTCAGCCAGCTACGAGCGAAGCCATGTAAGAACTTCCTTGGGCATGCGGTGTATTCCGGATCACGTTCATTTAAGTTATGTTGTAAGGTATATTTTAATTTTAAAGCGCTTTCCTATCAATTTTTGTTTCCACTCAAAACTCCCTACCAGAATGAGTTTTTAGAATCACGTTGAGTTAGAAGTAATATTTAAGCAAAGTTCAACTTACTTCGTGAGAGAGAGCTAGGAATCTTGAGTAGCGCGTGTTTGCCTTCAGGCTAAATCTCTCCTGAAGCTGTTACGCTGGGCCGTATTATACGTATTCGCCGGCTAGTTTAAATTAAGGGCGAACTACGTTAGGTACTTCTGTTAGCTTCGACTAAGTCTCTTAGTTAGATATAGTTTAGTTTTTATTTCTTATTCTGAGTTAAACACGAGTGGAGGCTTTGTTGTTAATTTTTCGATTGAGCAAACTTATCTTTTTAGGCAGTAGTCAGTAAATCTACCCCTGTAAAACTGGGAATTTGCTGTATTTCTATTTTTCTATCTGTTTATTATTTTTTTAACTTCAACAAAATGCATTTTTCTATAAAATAAATCTCTTAAATTTAACACAGTAAACGACTTAACATAATAAATCAAATACCTTAACCTCAAACGTGACAGTAATTGTAAATTTCTTTAGAAGGGTATTAATCTTTGGCAACACTAACGTCGAAATCACTGACATGGTCTGGCGCCATTGCTGATTGGAAAATAAACAATAAAATGCTTTCAAAGTTAGTAACGGACCTTTTGTTTCTGAGCAACGTTTTGCGTGCCGATAAACGATCAACTGTAATAACCTAATGATAAATTTGAATTGAAGAAAGGTTCGCAACCGAAGTCAGCGTAGTTTACTTCTGAACGAAATGGACAGGTACGAAAGCCCTTGTCAAACTTTTGTAACGAAAATAATACCATTTCTGACAAGAGAAAAGAAAACAGAATATGCAAAACATCGGCCGGCGCCAAAAGTGCTTAGAATGTTTCAGCTTATGGATTTTCCAATGTTTTAAATGAATGGATGAACAAAGAATACTATTGATAGATCTTCAATTAATGTCTTATTCTTCGCTACACTTCAGTGAGCATCTTGAGGAGTTGGGCAAATAATAAATTTAATCGTCCAATTTATGTTAGAATTCTGCTTAGAACTGGAGGTCAATGGATTTTTCACAGCCAAATAAAGTGTCTGTGCGAAATTGGTTCCTTTTCCGTGAATATGTAGGACTGAACCACCACCTTTACTAAAAAAAAAAAGTAAAGTAAAGTAAAGGAACTCTGAAAGCTCTCAGGTTTTATATTGCGCCCAAAAGGGCATTTATTTAAAGTTTTGTGTGTTACTTTATTTATTAAATACCATGTTCTTCGCACTTAAACCACATAATATTCAACAACAATAGCATAAAATATTTAAAAACAGCATATCTGGAGAATTTCCGATACGCAGTCTCGCACGCTGGATATAAATTTTTTTTTATCCGTACAGTGTTGCCATTTCTCGCTTAGAAATAAAAAATTTCTTAAAGTTTTACAAAATTTGAAATAGATAATAAAACAAATTCGAAATTCAAAATTCGAGCTTCCAAGTGCCCATGTTCCGTTGCAGGTCTACGTCATTCAAAATTTGATGGCTCCAGGTACCGTTGTTTTTTCGGAATGCGAGAAACATTCATGCATTCATGAAGATGCTTCATTATTTAATTTCTTTAAATATAATACATAGTTATAATATTTGGTGGCAACAGTTTGAAAAGTGAACCGACGCAGAAAGTGAAACGACCCAAAATGCTTTGGGTCTAACGCCCCTTTGGGCTAAGAATGTATGCCAACACTTAAAGCTGCATCGGTACATCTAAACGAATACTGATATGCTGCTTTATGTTCTTTGTAATTTTGCTGTTTATTGTACATGGCGTAAGTGCGAAGTAAATGATGATTAATAATGAAGCTAAAGATACTAAAAAGGGGG